ATTGATATCGAATTGTGGTTTATCATTAGTGAAGATCCATATGATGCCTCTCTTATAGATGAAAATACTCATGCATCTAGACCGAAAACAAGAAGTGAACTGACTGCTGTGGATAGAGCTCATCTCACCTTAAATGCAAAACCCATGAATGTGTTATATTGTGCATTAGACTCAAATGAATCTATTAGAGTCAAAAGTTGCAAGTCAACTAAAGAAATTTGGGACAAACTGAAAGAAATTTATGAAGGTAGTGAGAATGTTAGAGAACAAAAGAAGTCCATTCTAGTTACAAAGTATGAATCTTTCAAGATGGAACCTCATGAAAATGTTGAGCAAATGTATTGTAGATTCAATGATCTCATTAAAGATTTAGAGGTGCTGGAAAAAGAATATTCTCTTGGTGAGAAAAATAGAAAAATCCTGAATGCCTTGTCCAATGATTGGGAAAATAAAGTGACTGCTATTGAGGAGGATAGAGATTTGAATACTATGCCTATTGAATCTCTTATTAATTCTCTTACCTCTTATGAGCTGAAACTTAAGACTGAGGTGCAAGAGGAAGAGGATGCAAAAGTCCGAAAGAATATTGCTCTAAAAGCCTCACAAGATGAAGATGATTCTGCCTCCCTAGATGAAGAAGATGTGGAAGGTGATGACAATGATATCGCTCTCATCACAAGAAGTTTCAAACGAATACTCAACAAGAGGAGATTCAGAAAAGGTGGACCTAGCAATTCATTCCCAAATCAGTTCAACAACTCGAGAAACAAAGGGAAGCTAGAGTTCAACAAAAAGCAAACTGATCAGTGCTTTGAATGCCGCCAACTTGGACACTATGCAAGTGACTGTCCAGTGATGAAGAAAAAAGAAGGAAGAAAACCAAGAATAAATAAATTTCAATTCACATGGAATGAATGCAATTTCGATGGTGAAATTGAAGAGGAAGATCAATCTGCTCAATTGGCTTTCATGGCCATTGGAGATGATGAGGTAACATCTTCTAACTCTCAATCTGATTGTGATGATGAAACTGAAGATGATCTTGAACATTTCATTATAAAATTGCATGATAGTTTGAAAGAATCTTATGCTAGAAACAAGGAGTTAAAACAGAAAATTAGTTTTTTGCTTCGAGATAATGCAAATCTTTTTTAACAAAACAAAAAGTTGATTGCTGAAAATGATTACTTCAAAAAGAGTGAGACTGCTTTACATTTTGAGTTTGATAGAAAAGCAAAACTTTGTGATTTGTTCAAAAAGGAACAAGGTGATTTGAAAAGAAGAATGGATAGTCTAAATGAGTTGTTTAAACACAAGAAACAAGTCTGTTTTCAAAAGAATAGGTTGAATTCTAATTCAAATGAGTTTGCTATCCATAGGAGAAGACAAGTAAGATATATTAAATCTGTTCATGTAAATAACTCTTTGGTTATGTGTAATTTTTGTTGTCAAAAAGATCACATGAATAGTGATTGTTATGTGAGAAAGAATATGAGAAGAGGCATGAAATGCATGTGGATAGTTAGACATGATGCTAATTTTAACAAGTAGGAGGTTTTGTCTAATCATTGCAATGATTCTTGTTCATAATATTTTTTCTTTTGATATTTTGATCTGAGTTCGCTGATATCTTTGAATACTACTGAATCTATATGATGTCAAAAAGAGAGATAAAAGAATAATGCTGATCTCATGATGATTTGCTGTGATTGCTGTCATTTCTCTATTTTTTCTGTTTTTATACTCTGTTATTGTTGCTAGATTATGATAGTTGGTTTTTAGTCTCATCTTATGATGACAAAAAGGGGGAGAGATGGATGCTATGTGTAAGGGGGAGTTATTCTGAATTTATAAGTTTGGTTGCAACGAGTGAGGGGGAGCTTTTGCTCATATGCTCAATTTTTTCCTTCTTCCATCCATTGTTTTGTCATCATCAAAAAGGGGGAGAATGTTGGCCCTAGTCCCTATCTTTTGATGTTTACAAAACAAATGGATGTTACTAATATCTCTTCAAAGATCTATTCAGTTATGAAGCAAATCAGTTCCAAAGATCAAGTGCTTTTGAAAGAAGACAAAGGTTACTGAAAGCTGTCGGGCGCTCAAAAAGACTGCATCGGACGTCCGACAACCATTGAGTATCTTCGGACGCAGAAAACCAACCTATCGGACGTCCTAAGGAATTGAAGAAAAATTCTCAGTTTTACATCATACCTTCGGACGCAGAAAACCAGCCTATTGGACGTCCTAAGGAATTGAAGAAAAACTCTTAAACTCTCTGCCTGCTGTCAGACGCACAAAACAGGGCTATCGGACGTCCGACACTGCCAACGGATAGTTGACTATTCAGCTACTTTCTATCCGTTGGAGGCATTAATGAGACTCTTTCTTGGTCCTATATAAATAGTGGTTGGTCAGATACTTCAAACAACTTTGGCACACTGAAGATACAAAAGATCTAGGGAGATTTTAGTGAGAAAATACTCTTCAAAGAAGATTTGTAGTCTTAGTGGTGTGAGATTCATTGTAAGCTTTTCATTTGTGAGTGAATACTTCATGAGTGTAGCTCTGTGAGGGTTGTCCTGAGGGATAGTAAAACGTCCTGGCTTGACCGAGGGAGTTCGGGGCAAGGAGGAGGTGAACCTTCCTTTGTACACAAGAGTGATTGTAATTCATCAATTTGAAGTAGCTTGTTCGAAGCTCAAGAGGAGTTGGGTAGTTAATTGGTTTGCAATTCTTTCCTTTTACTTATTGTTACATTTATGATCTTTGCATTGTTTATCTCTTTCACTTGGTTGTTTCCGATCCTTACAGTTTAGTTCTACTTTGTTTTGGTTGCTTTGTTTGGTAACTTGTGCACATAGAATTAGACAATGTCAGCAAAGGTTGTATTTTGTATGAAAGATTGAATTTGAAGTCATAACTAATTGCTATAACTATACATGGTAAGAAGATTTAGAAGTTATTATGTACAAAATTGTAGTTATTTTGGTTTTGATTCTAGACTAGGTGACGTTATATGCTGGTATTGGGGTGTGACAACATGAGCTCTAAATAATCTACATAACAGTAGATATATTCCGCCTCTTTCTTATTAAATTCCAAGCAGATGACACCGAGAAAGAACCATCCGATGCTAGAACCCATAGCATGGAATCCTCAGCTGACTAACAAATGGGCAGCTAACAAATTTGAGTAACTACATTAAGAGGCAACCAAGCTGCAAGCTTCTGTATATTCCAATCGTCTCCTTCAAAAAACTCTACAACTAGGAAATGAGGAGGATTCTCAATTAATTGAAGTTGATTAATGGCTCATCAACCACCCACCTATCTAACCAGAAATCAACTAAACCTTCACCCAAAACCCACCTAATGTTCTCCTTAGCCACTTCACGAATAGAAACTAGTCTCCTCTAGGTAGTCGAAGGACATAAAACTTCTACATGCAAAGGATGCTGGTCTCTAATGTATTTTCCATGCATAAAAATAGCCTATGGTGACTTCTTAGCTCGAAACTTCCATCATAATTTCACGGTAAAAGTGATATGGTACGGGTTCTTTGAGTTTAGCTTAGTCGGGTGCTCAACATAAAATCCATCATAAGGTCCATCATATTCTTGTCTTTATTCAATCTGCAGAGACTTGCTATGATGGGTGATGATCATTGAACCCGACATCAATGTTTTCAGAACCAAACCGGATCGGCTAGTTCAATCGATTGGATCGCGAATCGGACATGTCACCGGTCTAGTCTAGTGCCAAAGTCGGAGGTTAATGAAAAACAGTTAGAAATTGAACGAACCATTAAAAATCTTGTAGACCATAAACATGCAGATTTTAAAATTTTCAAACATTGTCACCCTAAATTCCAAAATAATAACAAGAATGGTGCTCCTAGGATTTGAACCCAAGTCTCCACAGCCATAACAAGGAATTCTTACCACTAAACTACAGCCACAGGACAAGCCTATTTTGTATAGAACTCTACTTAACTTAAGTGAGAAACTAAAAATCGGATTTTAAAAAAAAGAAACCCTAGCATTGAGACATAGTAGATAGCACCGCACTCTGTTTTGCTTCACTTCCTCGATTCTCTTGTCTCTGCTTCTCCTCTCGATATTTTTTTCATTTTTTTCTTCGTAACCCTTCCACATCCAAATATCAATTACAAGATCTTTCTCAAGCCTTCACCGTGATCATCAAGCTATTATCTTTAGTCGATTTATAGGCAAGTTGGAAACTTCAACTTTCATAAGATACTAGACGAGACTCGAGAGCTTTTCCATCTCGGTGAGTTTAATTTTTCCCTTTTCAAGATTTTTGTTTTCTATATGTTCTTTTTGTAAAACTAACTGATGTTGAGCTATTTTGCCTTTTTTTTAGTTTTTTTCGTATTTTCTTCCTTTTTCCCCAATTTTCATCCTTCCCTATTCATAATTGATGTTTTATTTTTGTTTGATTAGTTAAGAATGAAATTATGTATCATGAATTAGATTACAGTCATGTTTGGAGAAGCTATTTTTTGGATGAAGTATTAAATTAATTAAATTAGTCATGCTTGGTTTTTTAATTTTGATTTTTTTTTCGGAAAGCAATCTTTGGTTAAGTTTTGTCCAACTAGAATAATATGCTACCAATCACTGTGAAAAGGTAAACCTATAAAGCAATGGCATATGTGTTATATAATTGACTTATCAAGTACTGTCCGAATGCATGTTTCTTTGGCTATTAAACTCTTAATATGTTGTTGGCTATTGAGTTCTTGTATGCTCAAAGAATCTGGTCGAGGCTTGATATCCTACTTCAGTTTAGTTTTTATAGATGTTTGATGCTTAAAGTTGTTCCAATACGCTACATAATATACAAATGCTAACAGTTGAGATATTGATGTGACTAATTGATCTTGTTGTATTACTAAAATTTTGTTAATTTTATTTTCTTATTGGTACACTATATTTTACAAATGAACTAATTATGTCTAAATTAACTATGTGAAGGATAATGGATTCTGCTACTGGTAGTAATTCACAATCTTCGACTGCTGGAGCTATCAATAGTGGAGAATTAACAAGTCAAAATCATAGACAAAAGTATGATATAGCATGGAATTATTGTTCAGAAGGTGTGAATAAGCAAGGAAGAACTTTGACATGTGAGTATTATTTTAACGTAATTGCTGGTGGTGGCATTCACCAAATGAAACAGTATTTGGTAGGAGAACAGGGTAGCATTGTTCCATGTTCAAGGGTTGACTTAGCAATTAGACATGCTATTTTAGCACTGATGAAGGAAAAGGAGCAGAAATCTAAAGAAAAGAAGGGTGATTTTGGGGTGGAAAATCCATTTGGCCACACTACTCATGCATTTGATGGTGATGAAGTTTGGGAGATCCCTTCTCCTTCAACAAATGAGATAGATGCATCTAGTGAAAGAAAGAGAAATGTCACTGCTTCAACAGGTATATGTATTTTTTTTTTAAAGGTGGGCGTGATACTTCTCAACCAACCATTAAAACTTGTTTGTAAAGTAAGGAAAAACGGAAAAATACGAACATGGCTATTGCTCTTTGGTTTTATGATGCTTGCATTCCCATAAATGTTGTTAACTCTCCATATTTTCAAAAAGCTATTGATCAAATAGCATCAATGGGTCATGGTTACGAAGGTCCATCATATCATTCTTTGAGAGTTAACTTGTTGCCAAATGCCAAGAGAGATGTGAAATTAGTTGTTGATTCTTTTAGAAGTACTTGGGCAGAAACTGGTTGCTCTATAATGGGTGATGGATGGAAAGACACTAGACAAAGACTATTGATTAATTTTTTGGTTTATTGTCCTAAGGGTATTTCTTTCATTAAATCTATGGATGCATCTAATATTGTAACAAGTGCAGATTAATTTATTTGCTGAAATTGTTAAGATGGTTGGTTTAAATAATGCGGTGCATTTAGTTACTGATAATGCTAGCAATTATAAGGTTGTTGGGTCTTTGTTAAGTGAAAGATATCCGAACATATGTTGGTCACCATGTGCTGCACACTACATCAATTTGATTTTGAAAGGCATTGGTGAAATGAATGATGTAAAAGCTCTAGTGTCTCTTGCCTCAACGGTGATCGTTTTTATCTACAATCATAAGTTCACTTTGAATTGGTTAAGAAAGACTGCAGGGTGGAAACAAATTATTCATCTAGGTAAAACTTGATTTGCAACTACCTTTATTCCATTAAAAAGTTTGCATGATCATAAGGATAGTTTGCAATATTTGGTTACTAATGAGGATTACAAAAAATTTCTGAGAATAGAAAAGGAAAAAGATGTGAAGCAAATTGAAAGGTTTTGGAATTGTAACAGCCCCACCTTCCCCTAAGGCGAATCAAAGGGGTTAGCGGACTGCCTGCCCAGCTCTCACCAGGACTACGGATCAGTTCACGCCGATCTAATACGTTCCGGAACTTACCGATGCGCGCAACCAAGTCAAAATCACAAAATAAAAATAAAAAAAAAACGAAGAAAAATCGAAGCCGATGATGAACAGTACCGGCCACGTCAGAATCCAGATACTAGCCCGAGAGTAGCCAAAATTTTTCTTTTGCCGTTTGAAATACGAGTTGATCCGAAATTCAACCAAATATCAACCAAACATACATACATTGAAATGTAACATTTTCAAGCCAAAGCGGCATATCAAACCATTCATTACGAATATACATGTTCGGTTTGCCAATCAAAAGAAAGTGAACCCAATACACATTAGGGTTTCATTCGAAGAGCTATTCAAAAGATACATTTACATGAGCTCACCTTGCTAGTACAACCTTTCCAAAAGTGATCATTTTCCTGTAAGGAAAACAAATGGAACGGAATGAGCTTAAGCCCAGTGAGTTACTACCACATAAGCAACAAAGATCACATAAGCATAATCTTTCATTTCAAGTACACAATTAAGAAGTAAAACAAGTCGGTAAAAGGATACGGACGGCTCTCAAGAGCCCATTTCCACGCTTACATTCTTGATCCAATCTCATTGACTCTCCGTCAACGTTTATGAGTACCAACCGTAGACCTCACTTCACTCCATTCCTTCCACCAAACATACCCCAACCGGGCCCGCACTCCAATCAGTCATTTTGGTAATACTCGAGTATACCGGAACCAAGAGTCTCATTACTACAAGATTCCCCAGTACAGTCCCCGTGGCACGTCAATATTCACGACCAAGCCCTCGCCGGCTCGATCCAATTGACTACCTACGGGGTTGAGCTCAGTAATACAATAAGGCCGTTGGACATTCGTCCAAACGACACCAAATCAGTTTTCCATGAATGGAATTCGATATCTCATATAGCAAGTGCAGTATTTCAGTAAAACGGTAAACAGTCATGAATGGAATCACAAGGGGGTGAGGGCGGTCAAGTACACCCTCACCTCAATCATTTTCAATAGCCATATTAGCCGTCAAGGCATCAAATTCACATATACCAAAGCCACATTGTAACATTTAAGTGAGTTGTATACTCACCAATCAATTAAGTGCTATTTCATGCACTTCCGTCAGGAGAATGTCGTGAACCACCGTCACGCCCTAGAACACGTAAGCAAGTACAATGAGACTCGACAACGAGTCATAAAGCAATGCCAATCACAACCCCAATAGGGTTTTACAAACATATACAAGCATTATAGCAAACCAGAAAATCAGGAAATGTAACTCATTTGACCCAACAACAAAAACAGTTTTGGCCTCCTAATGCGGTAATGGCACAAAATGCGTTACGCTTATTGGATGAGGGTGTAAAACCCACCATCTCAAAGCTAAAAGACAGGGCTACAACAATGTAGAAGGCCACTCAGTCCAAATCCTAGCACAACTAGGTCTAAAATGCAGAATACCAAACCAGAACCGTAATTGCAGGTTTATAAATCACACTATGCTGTAATTCGTACCACTCAGTCTATACAGGTCCAAATGCATTGATTCTAAAGGCATATGGTAGCTAAGACATCCAGCTACATTTCATCAGAAGACACCAACATCCAAATCCAAAGCAATTCCAGTCAAAATAGCCAAATACAAGTGCAGTTTTGCCATCCTGATCAACCCAGAACAGCAACAGTAAAATCGACATATCTCACTCTACACTACTCCAAATGACCTGAAATTTTACAGGAACCTCAAACTCATCAATACCTACAACTTTCATGTTTTGAGAAAAAGCCAATTCGGCCTCTAACCCTATGATCCAAAGCCGGACAGAAAAGGGGGTTATGAAACCCTAACTTTTCTCATTTCAATCCAAACCCAAAATTGGTTGCAATTATCACTAATTCACACCTACTAGAGTCATTACCCCTCATTATCAACCATCATAGATGACCACAACATCACATTCATATTAAACCAGAAAATTCCTCAAAAAAATAAAAACTTCACCAAATCACTTCAAACCAAGAAATAAACCACAAATATCATCACTTTAGCCACTACTAAGCATAACTTAAGCTTCATTAAGTGTAAGAGGGAATTCACACACCACTCACCTAGTAACCAAGAGAGGTATAGATGTTGGACACCTTAACGCTTCCAAAAAGCTTCACTAAAGCACTCACTAGCACCAAGTGGAAGGATTTTATGGAGTAGAAACACAATCAAGCAAATATTTTGGGTGATTTGCACAAATTGGTAGCTAAAACTTGAAGAGTTTTCCTTCCTTCTTGAGCTTAGGAGAGCCGGCCACCAAGGAGAAAGAAAATGGTGAATTTTGGTGATTTTTGGAGATATTTACTCAATGTGGTCAAAAGTCAAAAAGCATGAATAGTGTTCACCAAGTCCAACCAATGGCTATGTGACACTTGTCACTTCCATAAATGCATTCCTATCTTTTCTTTTCCTCTCACATCAATCACTTCACATCCTCTACTTATCTCTTAACACCCGATAAATTTTACACAGTATCCGAAACTTAACCTTATTGGCCGAATTTTTCTGAACTTTTCACACTAGTGGGTCCCACGTCCATTATATATTCTTAATTTTCCAAAAACTCTCCAAGGCTAGAAAAATCATCTAAAAACTATAATTACTCATAAAAATTCCTCAGGAAAATTTCCTAAGCCAGGAAATGCAGAAAACATGCTATTAAAGGAAATAAAACCCTCGGAAAAGATTAGGGTTTTTACGGGTTCTCACACTCTCTCCCCCTTAAAAGAATTTCGTCCTCGAAATTCCTTATCATTGATTACTCCGGGATTAAATTGAGCACTATACTTAGCTAACAGATCGGTACCCCTTCACTGGCCAGGTTCAGTAGATTATTACCTTCCACATCCTCTAAGGGGTCAAAGACTTGATGTTGTTCTAAGGAGTACACCCGAGAGGACACTTTCGATCCATCCTTGTCCCCCTTCGGCTGGGCAGGGTTGGTCGTAGTTGGTGGCAGAGTCCCTTGCCGCTCGCGCAGGCGAGCTGAACAGTTAGCAATTTGATGTTCGGCACTCTCACAGAGCAAGCATTTTCCTCCTTTCCTCCAGCAATTGTCCTCCGAGTGGTTTAATTTTCCGCAATACCCGCAGGGTCCGTGTGCTACAGAAACCGAGCCTCCTCTTGACGGGCTCTCTTGTGACACTCCCGTCATCCTTACTCCTCCCGTTCCTCGTCCAAACTTGGGAGGGGTACTTTCATCCTCCTGCCCCGAACTACTTCCAGAAAATCCTCTCTTTTTCGCCTGAAAGGTTTTCACCTGGAGCCTAGCATTCTCTACTCGTTGTGCCTTCTCCACTGCTTCGCTGAAGGCGTTAATTTGGGCTGCCGCGAGGTCCTTCTGGATTTCTACGTTCAGTCCCTGGACAAATCGCTGTATTCTTCGTTGCTCGGTCATGATGAGTTCGGGCGCGAATTTAGATAGGCGGGTGAATTTGCTATCATATTCCGCCACAGTTTGAGCTCCTTGGCGGAGTCGAATGAACTTGTCTTCCTTCCTCTCCTGAACTAGAGGAGGGAAAAACTTCGCATTGAACTCTCTGATGAAGTTCACCCAAGTCCTAGGTGTCTGTTCTCGTTCCCACTTCTGCCGAATTACGTTCCACCAGGAACGGGCTGCCCCCTCAAGCTGAAACACAGCAAAAGTCACCTGCCGTTCGTCAGGGTAGTGTAAGGCTGCAAATATATCCACCATCTTTTCAAGCCATCTTTCGGCAACGTCTGGGTCGGGTCCCCCAACAAACTTTGGCGGAGCGAACTTTTGAAAGCGTTCAAGACTCTATCTTCGCTCTCGATATGGTTACCAGGGTTTCCGGGGTTAGGGTTTGGGTTTTGGCCCTGTTGCCGCACCACTTGTGCGAGCAAGTCTGTCATTTGCTGCATAGCAGCAGCTATTTGTACATTAGGGTTTACTTGCGGTTCCAGATTGGGTCCAGTAGAGGTTTCCCCCGTACCCCTAACCGGTGTGGGTTGCCTACCCCTGCGTCCACGGCCTCGACCACTTCGGGTGCCTTCTATCAATCTAAGTCAATCTAGGTCATCAAATAAATACACTGTTAAAGGGCACCTAACCCTTCCTTCCGTAGCACCAGACAGGAACAATGAAACAGGAATAAGTAACTCAAACAATTACCGCGAAGAGCATTTAAACACATAACACGTATACATAGGTCACATAACCAGGTTAAGCAATTATACGGAACAGTCAGTCAAGTACATACGAAGTCATTCCATGAAACAAAAGGGTCTTCCAAAAGTACTATAGACACCTAGGTCACAAGTACAATAGAACTCACGAAAAGCTTTTCCCTTTCTAGGGCTTCGTCCAAATATTTATATCTTAATCAAGGTCGATCACGCTTAACCACACCCGAACAAACCACACCGGCATGGAAAGCAGCACGAAGTTCCATAGAATCGCCTTTCTATTCACGCCAAATCCTTTCTAAACCTAAGCCCTCGCATATCTTTCGTATCCGGGCGCAAGATCTCGTCAAAAGATAATTCAAATCTCGAGCCGGCCGGTTCCCAAGAGTAAACCATCCTATAAAGATTCCTACCCCCGACATACACTACCTAACTAGTCTCGAGTCCCATGATAAGATTCGTACACTTAATCACATGCCGCGGTC